GCCATGACTGTATATTAAACTCACTATTTCGTCAGTTTCTCCAAGACAAGCTTAGTCCTTTCTTCAGTCAAACGTTTCATTCTTTCTTTTATAACAATATTATCATTTGTTTAATTATTTGTTGATTGTTGAAACGTAAATAAATAGCAGGTTAACACGTGCACTGTTCTCCCGCTAATCGTGCAAGATAAGAAACTCGAGTTACAATCTGATATTTTTCTCTAGCACTAGATAATTTATCTAAACATAGAAATCGGTCGAAATATCTCTAGTAAAAATACCCGCACGTGACTGATAAACATATTTTCTATTCACCATGCGATTTACTCTATGGTGGAAAGAACGCATGCGTCCCGTCCGACTAAAGATGGAGCCTCGCGGTTTCCTACCATTTGCATCTCGATGGGCCGGCGGCGTGTGTAAAAACTAGTATCGCTGAAAGTCAGCCCTGTTTCGTCGCGTTCAACGAATATGCCTACTTAAAGCAGGCAGCCGCGACTGCCCGCTTATTAGTACGAGCCTCAGTCAATCCGCGTGCACGAACCAAGTAAACCGACGGTCCACCTTGTGTCTTCTTCCTCGATCGACTTCTTCTCAAACCGCTGCTTCCTCGGCCCACTTTAAGGTACGTTACGATTATTCTCGCCTTTGGCATCGACCCCATCCCCATTATTCGCGGGACCCCCTCGTTCACGTGGAATTTCGGTGTGTCGCCCATTCCGCCAGCGGGACACCAGAGGAATTTGTGTTCTCGATTTCCAACTTTCATTAAACGAGGATCGCCTCGTGAAAGTTCTAAACCCGCCGAATATTCTGTATCACCCGTCGCCTTCTCGTGTTTTTTCCACGTTTCCCACCGCGCCGGATATTCGCCCGATCCCTTCGGACGGAACCTCGATTCGGCCCAGGGATTATAAAATTACGATTGATAAAGATACAAAACTTTATCGATAGTTTATCTTATCGTATCTCTCCGCTTTGTATCACATTTTTCGCACTCGCCTCTTTCTAGTTTCGTACCAATTTTTCCATCGTGGAACTGTAAATATTTCTCCGCCGGTGTTACAATGTTCCTTCAAATCTCCTGTGTTTTTTTTTTTTTTTTGATGCTAGTGTGTGAACAGAAATTTTCTGTTCGATTCGTCGAACTTCATTCAAGTTAGTTTGATGAATCATGAAGTATCGTAACTGAAGGATGTGTGTTTATAATCTCTGTTTCAATGTTATCATTTAATCGTTCTCTGTTGTGAAGAAAATGTGGGAATTATAACAACGCATAAATAGGAAACAATAAGAAAATTCTTATATA